TTTCCTAAACTTTCGGAAGTACCCCGAGCCAAAAATAGAAAATCTTCTGGATTATCGAGTGTGATGAATACGAAAAACCACTTTTCAGCAACTCTAAACCAACTTTATTTTTTTTCCGGTGATATGATCCTGAATTTTGCTGTAGCACCCATTTGAAACAAAGTTCACCGTAAGACTTTCAACCATATTTCCAAAGATTATACGCCAAAGTATATTTGGTAAAAGTTTGACGGTCTCCAGTGCTTTCGTGATGATCGTAATACTGATGGAACACAAAATATTTTTAAAAGCAGTATTAGGTTTTCGAAACTAGTTTAATCTGGCACGAATAAATTTAAAAGTCATGAAATATTCTAAATTCTTCGATTTTTCTACTCATACTAGTTTATATAGCTTCTTCGCATCTGACAAGTACCACCTTTATATTCGTACATACATGGGTAAAAGCCTTTTAACCTTCGATATTTTTTATCTAGATTTTTTGGCTTGGGGTACTTGGTGTATTCACAACGACCCTAAAATTTTAGTTTAACAGATCTGTTTCCACAATGAATTCTTACGAAACTCGCGACTTCTTAAAACCGTTCCGCATAATTCCTGGCTGTCGTATCGTATAATAATCTTTTTTTGAGAGTGGCATGAAAAAAAAGGTTTATTGCATAGATTTGTGCATTTTTTGTACTTAAAACTTTCTTACACCCTGTCTAACATTTGGTATCATCTTCCTAGTGGTATTCCCGTTTCATTTTAGCTGAGATCTGATCGCGAACCCGATTTTTTCTTGTGTAACGAAAAAATGCTGATTTTGGCAAAATAAAATCACGATATTAAAATTGTGATCGTGTTCTTGATCAAGTTCGTTATGCGATCCCGTTTCATTTGTGTTTCAAGAGAGTGACAGGATTGCGGCAGGATTATAGCAAGATCGTGTCTAATTCGAGACAAGATCTTAAAGATTTTTCCTTTGTCCACCGTTGAGGAAATTTTTTTATTATTATATCATTCTGTTCCTTAAACTATCAAAGTACAAAATCAATCCTTGAACGAAACTAGGATCACACTGACTTCGTATTTTCCTCTATCTCAGTCTGTAACGATGTAATGTTCTTTTATTTCGTCCATCCTTTGATAGAAGGAGAAAAACAGACAGACATGTGCGTATATTATCGTCCACTGTGTTTATTCTTTGTTCTCTTTTAATGTATATAATAGATATACAACACAAGTTAGTTAGTCATTTCTTAACCTTTTAACGCAGTGCAACGAGTGGTTTTTTTTGTAGTTAATGGAAATAGACTAACTATTTGACTATTGTCATCGGTAAGTGCGCAGCAATTTTCGAGATAAGAGGAGCATTCGAAGAGAAAAATTAATTTTTTTGTCTCAAAGTTGAACTATTTTCGTCTTGATAGTTTTAGAATCGAAAGAGAGTATTCGAAAGAGGAGCATTCGAAGAGGAAACAACACCAAACGTTTTGCTCTTCGCGGTGGTTCAGATTTACTGAATTTATTGAACTATAAACGACTCTTTTCCTTATAAATGACTCTTTTCTGTTTCAAAAATGGTTGTTTTATGTTCTTCTTTGTCGAAAGTATCATAGCTTTATCGTTTTCTTCCTCTTTGAAAAAAAGGTAAAAAATGCTTTTTACTTTCCAGGTGATGTGAAAAAAAGCATTTAAAGGTAATAAGTAACAGGAAAAGAAAAAACGAACGACGCGTAGCTCTCTCTCTCCCGTTTTACTACCTATATGAGTAAATGATTGGAGCGCATCACTAGCATCGTTTGTTTAGTGTGCAAAAGAACGTAGAAACCACACCAACGGTCTCGAAAACTGACTCTAAATCTTTAAAAGTACGTCCTTCACGAAAACTTCGCATAAATTACATGTTGTTATAATCATACAGATGTTTATTTTCCTATGAACTAAGCGAAATTTCTAGAGTCATTCTTCGACCAATGGATTCAGTTAGTAAACCAGACGGTGTCACCGGGAAACTGTGTAATTGGATTGCAAACATAAAGTACAGCGACATTCCCGAACACATCAAGGAAAGAGCCAAGTACTTGTTACTCGACGGTATCGCTTGTGCACTCGTTGGCGCACATCTTCCATGGTCAGAAACAGCTGTCAATGCCCTACTGGAATATGAAGATACAGCTAACAATGGTCCGTGCACTCTAATCGGATGGCCTGATCGTCATCTGAGTCCGATGAATGCGTCGCTACTAAACAGCACATTTATTCAAGGTTTTGAACTTGATGACTGGCATTTTATTGCGCCTCTACACAGCAATGCCATCCTTCTATCATCGTTACTCGCACTCGCAGATAGATCGTTAGTCCAAGCACTTAGTTATCGGAATATATGTGCTTCAAATTTTTAGCTCAATATCTGTCTGAAAAAAAGTGCTTTTTTGTAGGGAGTCGCGAACATAGCATAAAATTGTGACTTACCTATCTTGGCCACGTAAAGCATTTAGTTCAAAGTTTTTCCACCATTAAATAGGCCGTTAGCTAATGTATAACATTGTATAACATTAGCGGTTTATATAATGTATATAAACCGCTATTTAAATCTTGAAAACAGTCACTTTCGTTTTCTCACTTAATTTCCATGTGGTTGCCCACTGTGGACCAAGAACCGCTATTATACCCAATATTTATACCTAATATAATTTAGAAAATATGGACACTAAAGCTACTCGAGCTGCTACGAATATCACGCTCAGAAGGGTTGTTCATCGAATACGATTCTGATGAGTTTTATACCGATTGGCGGTGTAAAAGTTAGTGGACCGATTTTAAATCTTATTTTAAATCTCTTTTTGTCGGTTTAATCTTTTCCCAGAACGTTCTTCATGATCTGCTCTGACTCGTTGTTTCGACAAGAGTCAGCTTTTGAATCGAGGGACCAGATGAGCAACTGGAGTTCTGGGTAGTGTCTCAAATCGATTAATCGAATGAAGAGGGTTCGAGTAGTCGGCACTATCATAAGAAAGTCATTAAAGCGCAAAATAATGAAAAAAAGCAAAAACAGAAATTTCTCATAGATGGATTCGACTCTAGCATCTTCTTTTCTATAAAAGGAATCATCCGATTAGTCGCAACTAATCGTCGAAATTCGCAAAAATATCGCCTACTAATTCGACAAAAGTATCGCAACAATCGAACGCTAAGTCACGTAAAAGTCGCTGATTCTTAAGCGATTAATGCCACATGAGGAAGCAGTTAAAATTAGGAGCATTCCTTGTTAACTTTACCGAATGAAATAATGATATTGCATATCTCAGTATGTCTGATAACAGAATGACTCATAAGGTGCCGGCAATGCGAAATTCAAGTAAAAATTATTTTTGCCGTTTTTTTTACATCATTTGATAGAGTGAGAGTTGCTGATCACGAAAAACAACTTTTTACCTTACACAAATATCTTTTTCAGGTCGGAAAATACGA